TAGAAGTAGTCCAAACCTATGACCCAAGGTTCTATAGAGGAACAAGGTACACTGAGAGGAAGTATCATGAACATGATATTGTCCGACAAGAAAATGTACTCGTGGCTAGAATATTGTATTGGAACACAACTTTGTTGATCTATTAGAAAAGGTGTCATCAATCAATAGTTTTGATCGCCACCTGGATAACATTGGAGTTAGATGCAATTCTGATTGGCTATGAGGGCAAGTGGGAGCTGTTAGGATTTATATACCCTAGTATAGCAAATTCCTATTTGGACTAAAGTGACATATGTTCCTGACATATCTGAAATATTTATGATTTATATAATTGGTGAATTCAATGTATTATGTTTCGATTCATTATGGAACTGATAGTGTCCACTTGATTACAAGAAGTATTTATATATGTATGTGATGGAGATCAATACATGAATATAAATAGGAATCATAAATTGTTCATAGTTTGTAATTATAGTTGGACTCATTATTAACTAAGACTTGAATTGAATCCGCGTTAGGTTGAGATATATTACGAGAGCCGTCGTATGTAATTGCTCCTTATCACCGTCATGATATTTGGCTTTTAGGCATGAGAGAAGTATAGACACTTTTATTAATTAGTAATTACTTTGATTTATTCGGCGGAATCTTCGGAATCCTTAGACCGACACTTTGGGTAATTATGTAATTAATAGTTAGAGGGTTATATTTTCAATATTTGTATCATTATTACTTGTATTTATTTTGTATTGATTATTGTTGATCACAAAGTAAATTCGAAGGCTTTCGTGTACTTTTAGACAAGATGATTTATTATATATTTATTTATTTAAATTATTATTTTTGTCAAATAAATATTTTATTATGATCAAGCCGGAAATAATCAAAGGTACCAAAATAAATATATTAATTAAGTAGTCGGATTGATGACTTTATTTATCCGATAACTAATTATGCATATAGGGGTCAAAGTATAACATTGACTTAGAGGTTATTTATTATTTAATTAGAGTTTAATTAATTTCTTTTAGTAGAGTAGAAATTAATTAAATTGGGTCCATGGATCGGGCCAATTATTAACTCATTGTAACCAAGAAAATAATAAAGGTAAATGATTCTTACTCATAACCCAACTTGATATTAGAATCCTATTAGATTTGAGATATGGTAATTAGGGATTGAGAATGTATATTTTAGTGGTGACTTTTGGAAGAAAAAAGGAATATTTTCTCTCTCTAGAATTTTAGGGTTAGTGTTCTTATCTAATGGAGGCTCCCATAAGCCTAATTTTCCAAGTTCATTCATGGAGGCTTATAGGTGATTCCTGAAGGTAAAACTATTACCAAGAAGATGGAAATCTAAAGAGAAGGCATTCAGTACAGGGATCTACAATAAGTGAGAATATTTACTGTAGAGAAGAGATCTAAAGTTTACTCAAATCTTGATGTACATCATATTTTATTTTTGTATAAAACTTATCTATATGTGGTGAATCAAGATCTATGTATAAATTTTTTTTAAATTTTTTTTAAAACTTACACGTTTCCCAACATAAACAACACAAACTCAACAAAATTCAACGTCCAAAAGATAATCCCTACGCACACAAAACACATATACTGTGGGTGTGTGCGCAAAATAATTATTTTTATTAAAATTGAGATTCAGAGACCGACTACCACTTTGATCTACTTGTGCATGTTGTAATTTCATTCACAGGCTTTATTTTTCTTGTTATACACTTGTACCCATCACAAAAAAAGTTATTTTGGACCCATCTCATCCTATCACATCACATAAATTTTGTTCATCAAATAATATTCGTAATTTCGAATCGTTTTGCGTTGTTTCATTGTCGGTGGACTTCAACAATAACAGTTGAATGTCCCTAAAAATTGAAGTGCATCCCTAATGACTTCCTATAAGAACAGGTACAAACATGTCAAGTCAGCCACTGAAAGAGCTTGGCAACAATCTGGCGTCGGCGTACCGGGTTCGGCGCAGTCACGGCGGGCTCGCATGACATCAGACCATCCTCATTCATGCTACACAACTCCAATGCCTTCTACCCTTCCAATAGCGCCATAACCAAAACCACCCCCACCACCACCACCACCGTCTTCCTTCCCATCTCCATTTTACCTTTGATTTAGAAATTATTTGTCACTTCACACAATATATATATATTATTATTATTTATTATTATTATTATTATTGTAAAAAAAAAAAAAAAGGGGTTCAGACTTCCTATTTTTCATCAATAAATGTCTTATAAAGAAAGTGATTGTTAACCTATCGATACTTTCTTAGGAATATGGATGAGCAATGTGGATTAGGAGAAGCAGCTAAATGTGGTTAATTCAGGACCAAGACAAGCATCCATGGCGCCCAGAGAACTGTAAGCTTTGCGAGAATGTTGAGACTTCTAAGGTTGATCATTATTATGACGTGTTTGGTAAGAAGGAAATAACAAAATTCTTTTATTCAGTAGAGATGATACTAGGAAAGAAAGTAAAATAATCCTTTACATATTAAAAATGGTCCAAAGAAAAGAGAGAAGACAAGTGAATTATAGAAGTTTTAAATTAAATATTATCCTAAATTATACAAGTTTTATAGTACACTACTATAATTTATAAATTACAATATAATAAATATTATTGGATAATAGTAAAAATAATTAAAACCTTCACTTTCCTTCTCTCTTAACAAATATAGTAAATTATGAACCACATTTAGCTTCTTCTTCTAATCCATATTTCCTAAGAAAGTATCGATATGTTACTATCACTTTCTTTCATCCATTGATCTCCGTTTTCATCCCTTAAACACAAAAGATTTGATTCATAAGAGAATTTGTGTGCATTTCTAGAGTAAAACGTATACAAGGGCTTACAAAGAATTTAAATCACGTATCAAATCATGTGGTCTATAAGGCATTTATTGATGAAAAATAGGAATTTGGAATTTTTAATTTTTTTTTTACAAAAAGAAAAAGAAAAAAACGAGGATTACCTAATCATTATATTTGGATAAAACGGTGTTAATTGAGTTAGGGTGATGAACTGGTGTTGGCATTAAGAGCATCTCCACCAAATTTATATTTTGATAAGTGTTACAAGTGTCAAAACACTATATTTTAGCAATTCTGCTCTAATAGTGCATTTCATGCAAAATGCATTCTAAGTCAAGTTGTAGACATTAGAAGGAAAGTAAAATTAAATGCATTCTAAGTCAAGTTGTAGACATTAGAAGGAAAGTAAAATTAAACCTAATTAAAAAGAAGCAAAAATTTAAAATATCTAGTTAAAAAAAAAAAAAAACCATTTTTTCATAATTTTTTTACCACTATTTGTGAATTAATTTTTTTTCTTTTTCGGAAATATATATATATATATATATATATATATATATTTGATTATATTATTATTAAAAAAAATATATATTTTTAGGGCAAATCATTTCAGCCTCCCCAATGGCCTCCATCTCTATTCTCGTTCTCAACTCTGAGAACTTACCCTCTCTCTCTCTCTCTCTAGCTCCAACTGCAAACTACAAAATCTACAAGAATCAAAAGTTCAAAACCCATATATTTCGGTCTATCTATCTGTCTGCAAGAATCCAAAGTTCAAAACCTATTACCTATATCAAAACCCATATCGGCGTATCATTTCAGATTGTTCAAAATATCAAAACCCATATCTTTCAGTTTCTATCGCCCGCTTTTCCAGTTCGGGTTCGCCATTCGCAAGCTTCAGTCGCTGTCTCTCAACTCTCAAACTTGCCCCCCTCTCTTTCTGCAACTACAAATCAAGGTTTGTAGGGGAAGAGAAAATACAAAAATCAAACAACAGAAGCAGGAGGCGGTGTTCGTCACCTTTAAGCGCCGGTCGCCGTTGATAATGGCCGGTTGTTGCAGATGGATGAGAGAGAGAGAGACGGTCGTTGCAGATGGATAAGAGAGAGAGAGAGAGAGACGGTCGTTGCAGATGGATGAGAGAGCGACGGCAGGGCAACAAAATATAGAAATAACTATTGCTATTTTTTTTGCTAGAATTGACAAAAAAAATAGCAAAACTATATTTTAGCAGCTCATATAACAATCCATTGGAGAGCCCAATTTTAACATACCCACCTGGTATAATTTGAATTGACAGCCCATATAGCAGCCCATTGAAAATGCTCTAATAAAGTTACTCAAAATAACATATAATGGTTCCATCTATTAATTTTTATGTAGCATGTTCACATCTATCACCATCACATAAAGATAAATGAATCAAGTCTCGATATGTGGAAGTTGCCTCAAAAATATCCAAGAAGAACATAGAAATATATATAACTCAAAGACACAGATGAAAAAAGAGAGAAGGATTGTTCCTTTGCATGTGTATCTATATATCCCTTCCATATATTGAGCTAACCTAGCTATTTATAAGTAAGGAGTAAAACAGTTATATTCTTATTAAAGACTAAAAACTGCAAGAAATTAAATATATGGACTATAAAACACAATAAATCTTACAAATTAAACATCAAAACTGATGAGCCTTAAAGATCCATTAAATCATGTAACCGAAATAAAACACAATAAATCTTACAAATTAAACATCAAAACTGATGATCCTTAAAGATCCATTAAATCATGTAACCGAAATAAAGTTTTAAAAACTGCACGAACACCCAAAACCGGGCCATATATCCCTACTCTCTATTTCTCTCCCTCTCTCTCTCACACGCACACGCAGTTACAAGTTACTACAAACTTACAACTAATACAAAAGCATCTCCAAGTTCCAAGAAACATAACGACAACCAAAACCCCCCACACACATATATGTGTAACTTATAAAGTAGAACAAAATAAATGAAAGTAAATGACCAATACCACATACGTTTTATGTGGCCAATGACTCCCGTGACAGCTCGGATCATGCCAATTCCTATTCACGGGCTCACAGCTTTTGGTTCCTAAAAAAGCCCTTGGTACTCTATATATAAGAAACAATTATTCCACAACCATATATGTGATATATATAGTGAGATATATAGTGTAAAGTGACAAATAATTTCTAAATCATAGGTAAAATGGAGATGGGAAGGAAGATGATGGCGGTGGTGGTGGTGGTTTTGGTTATGGTACTATTGGAAGGGTCCAAAGCATTGGAGTTGTGTAACATGAATGAGGATGGTCTGATGGCATGCAAGCCCGCCGTGACTGCGCCGAACCCGGTCACGCCGACGCCGGAGTGTTGCCAAGCTCTGTCAGGGGCTGACTTGACATGTTTGTGTTCTTATAGGAATTCATTCATTTTGCCTTCTCTTGGGATTGATCCTGATCTTGCCATGGCACTCCCTGCCAAGTGCAACCTCACTACTCCTACCAATTGCTAAGATATTTTCATAATGCATGCACTTCAATTTTAAATTACAACATGCACAAGTAGATCTAGTGGTAGTCAGTTGGTCTCTCGATCTCAATTTTAATAAAAATAATTATTTTGCGCACAGCCCCCACACTGTGTGTTTTGTGTGCGTAGGGATTATTTATATATATCTTTTGGACGTTGAATCTTGTTAAGTTTGTATTGTTTCAGGTATGTAGATTACTGTACGCAGCCTTTCAATTGCATCGCAAAAGGTTTCAATTTCTGGTGTTGGATCAAAGTAGAAGACTCAATAAAATATCAATGTAGTTTGTATTTCTATGAATTTTGTGGTCAATGAATCTTGAAAGTACCAATGGAAATGACTACTTAAATGTGAGTACAGTTGAGAAGGAAAAAATTAAAAATAAAAAATTTGTGAGCATAGTTGGTCCAGAGGTAGTCTTCTTTGTCAGAGGTATAGTGATAAGTTTGTTCTTATATGGTATTCATACATGTGAGTGTTTTTGTTCCAAGAACATTGTCAGAGTGACATAGCCACATATTTTGGTGAAAATTTGGATTGAAAAATGAAGTTCGATAGTAGCATAATAGTTGAATCGACAATGTTTGTTAGATATATGTTTATCTCATTGAGGATGGGACTCAGATTGCATTAAATGGATAAAAACTAAACCAATTAAACATATCGTTTTTTTTTTCCAGGCAAACAACAAGACATATATTAAACAGTCAAAACACAATAAATTACAGTTCTCGATATGAAACATCCCAATCAGCGAGTTGAATTATCTCCTCCGCTTTAGAAAGTTTTGCTATAGCATGAGCTGCCTCATTGCCAAGTCGACTCACATGACTAATACGAAAAGAGGTGTGCTGCTTGAGCAAGAACCTAATATCATGAATTATTGGATTAACTTGAACTTAATTGGTGGTAATGTCTATCTATCATTCCTTTGCAAACCTCCGAGGAATCACTTTGAAACCAACATTTTTGGAAATGCAAATATTGGGCCTAAAGCAAAAGTCATCGAAGACATTCAACTTCTGCCATCAAAGCACTCACTGAGGGGAATGAGTTAAACACAACCACCTTCAAGATCATACTAGCTGAATTTCGAAAGACAACTCCCCCACTGTCCCCGAGAAGTGTTGGGGAAAATTAACTCCCTCCAACTCACTCAACGGTTGACTGTTATTGAAAGTTAAATCCCTCATTCATCACACCCAGCGGAAGTACCAGCACATTATATCAATACAATTAAGTATATATGGAGACAATAATCATACACATCCATGCACAACAAAATATTTTTACACGGTTCACCCAACTCTAGGGCTACGTCCATGGAGAAAGAGATTTCACTTTTATGAATCAAGAAAGAAAATATATAACCACATATCAAAATCTCACTCACTCATTCATAATCTCTTTTGAAGCTACATGTATAAACTCAAAAATTACATATACTCTTCCTTTTATTCACAACACTCACTCTTAAACACCTTACATATTTTCTCTCTTTTCTCTCTCCCTAAACCTATAGTCTTCAAAACTCAATTCATTGTTGGATTATTCCCCAACTTGCCTATAATGAGTTACCATATTATTCTTTAACTCTAAATTAGTAGGTATAACTTCTTCCCCAAATCGATATTTAACCTTTTTCCCCAAGTCTTCTGACTTTCAAAACTAATTAGGAAACTTTTTCTCGCAGCTTCCAATAACTCACTGCCCAACTTGAACCAGTTCAATGGCTCTGAACCGGTTGAAGTTTCGTAGTAGCCAAAAGTCAATGCCACACTTGAACCAGTTTAAAGTCATTGAATCGGTTCAACTTTAGCAGTAGCTAAAGGTAAACCAAAAATAGTTCCACCTCAAACAAAGATCTCGTCATAGCTCCACCTCAAGTGAAGATTTCTCTACCTTAAATATATCACTATGATGAACTTGAGAAATACTCTAACAATCCCCACCTTTTCTCAAATTTTTCTTCTTCTTCTTCTTCTTCTTCTTCTTCTATCTTTTCTATCCACACCTTATCTTTACTAAGTCCCTAAAACCCAAACCTCCTTTATCTTTATTGAGGCGAATATCCTCCCATTTAACCTAATTCATCTTTGGGGAATTGTTTTTAGAACCCCACCAAATTAAATCTCCTCAAAATGCCATTTAGAGAATTAAAAATTTTCTGAGGCAACTTAAAGCATGGCATAACGAACGTGGGAAGAGCACTAAGCACCACTTTAATAAGGGCTCCTCTTCTTGCAACTACCTTTCTCTTAGTCCCTCCTCTCTAATCCCCAAAATATTAATGCAAATCATACTTTTCAAAATAGGAGAGGAATTTTTAGAGAAGAAAACAGATGATTTAGAAAAGTTAATTGCTGACCAGAAACACACTCATACCTTTGAAGCACCTCTTTAATGAACTTTACTTTAGTTTGATTTGCCTTACAGAAAATAACTGAGTTGTCCGCAAATTAAGAATAAGTGGAAAATTGCCGAAGTGTGCCGACAAATCTTTAAACTCGAAATGACCTTATGCCCACATGCAACCTTAAGGGAATTGGAGAGGGCTTCCGCACATATAGTAAACAGATACAAAGATAACGGGTTGCCTTGATGTAGGCCACGGTGTGGATTGAAAAACTCAACTGGACCGCCATTAATAACAATTGAAAAAGAACCAGTTGTCACATAATTCATTATTAATTTTATCCAATGAGGATGGAATCCAAAAATTTTCATCATAGCTTCGAGAAATGCCCATTCTAGTCTATCATAAACTTTACTCATATCGAGTTTTAGAGCCATCTTGGTGGTTGAAATATGTTTACTAATAATAATCAACACTTGCAATAACACAAATCATTGTAAAATAGGGCTATTGTAAGGGTAAGTCGAACCACAAGGATTGCTAGTTTATGGCAGCCAAGGTTGTAAAATCACTTTTAGTTTGATAAAAGAGGTGTATAAGGTTTGATTTGTTTGTCACGTAGAATGAGGAATTAAGATATGCATAAAATAGTAATTGGACTGAATTTAAGATGAATTAAACTTATGTAGAGAGAGCTAGGGAAATGAATTCACCATAAACCATATAAACATGCTTGCTTGCAATTAACTTGGGGAACAAATTATATATGTGACCATGATATGTAGAAATACATGATTACTACATTATCTTTAGGAATTTCATAAAATCAAGAATTTAGTATAATCCATCAAAGTTTTACATGCTTTAACTACCTAGACTAGGGTGTAGCTTATGACATGCTCACTAAGTTATGGACTATAAAATTCCTCAATAAATATGATGAGAGCACATGAAGTCAAAAACTAAGCATAATCCATCAAAGGTGTTCCTAAGCTATGGACTATCAAAACTTCTATACAACATGTCATTAAAAACCATTTCATAATCTTATCTCCATTTTCATTATGAAGATGTAAGCAGTATAATTATAAGAAAATATAATCTAAAACAAGATAATAAGTTCAACACAATCATTTATTGAAATAAAGAACCATTACAACTTATGTAAATCTCTAGTTTATGAAACTATCACATACATATTTCACTCCCCAAATTAAAATACAACTAGAGCATGATTACAAGGAAAGGCTTCATCACCTCCTTGGGAAGGGAGTTAGTTACCCATAGCAGCAAGGGAGGAAGAGGGTGAAGACCTCAGCCTTTCCATTCCTGCCACTTTCAGAAAAATACAACCAAAAGCTCTCTAAAACTCAATAATTCTTTCTCTATAATTATCCTCCAACAACTCCATCCCCTTTTACAATCATCACTCTTTCTTAAAATAGGCAAAATGTCTACCAAACCTCCTCAATTTTGAGGTCAATGTCCCCTCAAAGCAATTTACCAACAACTTCAATTAAGGAGGGAATTAAAATTAAAGGTTTAAAATGCCAGCTGGGCCTACATTGTCTAGACGAGCACTCATCCATTAAAAGGATAAGTGCTCGTAATTAGCTTTCTACTCATGATTGGATCTGTGCTGCACAGACGAGCGCTTGATGCTCTTGGTTTTCGGGCGAGTGTTCGGCTGGCCTTTGGGCGAGCACTTGGTTCTCTTGGGACGAGCACTCGGTTGATGGATAAGCGCTCGGTTTTCTTTATTGGACGGGCGTTCTATTCTGGACAAGTGCTCAGCTCTGATGGACGAGTATTCCGTTATGGATAAGTGCTCGGTTTTGATTGGACGAGCGTTTCATTCTAGACAAACGCTTGGTTCTGATGGACTAGCATTTTGTTCTAGACAAGCGCTCGGTTCGGATTGGACAAGCGTTTCGTTCTGGACAAGCGCTCGGTTATGATTGGATGAGCGTTCTGTTCTAGACAAGCGCTCGGCTCTCTTGATTTCTGAACGAGCGCTCGGTTGGTATTAGAAGAGCGCTTGGTTGGTTTTGCTGGACGAGTGCTCGGTTGGCTTTGTTGGACGAGCGTTCCGTTCTGGACAACTACTCGGTTCTGATTGGACGAGTGTTTTATTCTGGATAAGTGCTCGGTTCTAATTGGACGAGCGTTCTGTTCTGGACAAGCGCTCAACTCTCTTGATTTCTGAACGAGTGCTCGGTTGGATTTGGAAGATTGCTCGGTTGGCTTTGCTGGACTAGCACTCGGCTGGATTACCGGACGAGCGTTTGGCTGCCTTTGGACAGGCGCTCGGATGGTGGACAAGTGCTCGGTGCTTTTTTTTTTTTTTTTTTACCTCAAGTTGGACTGCTCGTATAATGGACGAGCGCTCGTGTGACATGGTGCGCGCGCTGGGTGTTGATGAATGCCGGACGAGCGCTCGTATTGCTTTGGACGAGCGCTTGTCCATGCCTTAGAAATTTTCTTTTCAACTGCTTTGAACTTCTTTTAAGTCTTTTAATTCTTCAAGCTTTTTATCCTCTTTCACCTTGATCTTGGTTTTGGGTCATTGGGTTCATCTTCTGTGCCTTTTTGCTTTGTAAAGAGTATCCATGAGCAAAATTGGGCCAATTCCTCTTGAAAATCATATGCTGCTAAGGCCTGGAATGACTTGATCTTCAAAAAGCCTTTAAGACTTCCATTTTATTTCTTTTTGGGAAACAAACCTGAAAATACACAAAAACATGAAACTAAAGATAATCTGTATAAAATGATCAAATAATGGACTTAACTAATACAATTAAGGGTGCTTGAATATGCAATATTTGGCACTTATCACACCCCCAAACTTACATTTTGCTAGTCCCATAGCAAAACTAGAATGAAAACATTTAATGAAATGACAACAAATCTCCTCTCTCATGAGAGTGACGGTTGCATTTAGCATATGCAACAAGCCTTTTAAACCCCTAGGCATCCCTAGAGGACGAGTGAAGTCTCGTGAGGGTTCAACAGGAATGTTACCTACAAACATCAAACATGGTGC